TGGGAGCCGGGGGTGGGAGGGGTACGCCATGAAGCTTGTAGGATCTTGAACCCAGGCCCTCGGCAGTGAAAGTGCTGAGTCCTAACCACTGGAAAGCCAGGGACTTCCCTCCTTCCTAGCTTATAAAATCAGTAAACAAATGTTGGCGTATCAGAAGCCTGAAGGAGCCAATAAAAGTAAAATAGCTTGAAAATTTGGGCAACGTACCATCTAAGCACCTGGCGGTGCCGGCACTTAGTAGGTACTCAACAGAGATATTAAATGCATGAAGGGAAGGGAAGGATGAAGGGGGAGAGGGAGAGCAGAACGCTTTCATTTTATTTCAGAACCAGCTTCCTGCTAAGTATCATTCATTCATTTATCCATGTATTCATGCAGTTCAGTTAATTACATTTACTGCATATCTGCTCTAGGTCTAGAGAAAGAGAAAAGCCAACACGTCTCCTCAACACTGCCAGTCTAAGGCTACCTGTTCTCTTACCCTTGGGGCTTTGATCAGGTAATTCTCAGTGTTAGAAATAACACTGTTCCTTTATCCTTGCACATAATGCTCTTCCAAGGGATAATTTTAAATATCGTTCACCTCTGTAAAGCATAACAAAAGTGAACAAACTAAGATTAATGTACTCCAGGCTTACTATTGTAACATTTATATAAATCTACTCATCTTCTCATATGTTAAGGTATTCAAATATTCACTACATCCTTGTGCCTTCGACTATATGTATGTGGATATGTACATACATTTTACACCAGTTTTACAGTAGCTATACACTAGCTATACACTTCACAGTAGGTAATATCTGTTAGTGTAAAAGAGGACAATACTTTAATTACATTCACATTCTCACTCTTAATTTACCTGCTTTTTAAACAAAGATATTTAATTTTGAACACACTCCTATATTTCATTAAAAATAGGAATGTAATTTTTATTAAAGTCCTAAATCTAACATTTCAACCCAAGAGGACAAGCTTACCAATCTTTCAGGTACTTTTAATCAAGAATGAAAATTTAGGGAGACGCAAGAGGGAAGACATATGGGAACATATGTTTATGTATGACTGATTCACTTTGTTATAAAGCAGAAACTAACACACCATTGTAAAGCAATTATACCCCAATAAAGATGTTAAAAAAAAAAAAGAATGAAAATTTAATTAGCCCAGAGAATGAAATCGTCAACAAAAATATTAACTCCTTCTTGTTCTAGATATCGTTCATCACTGAGTCTTTTGTGATAATGCACTTTTTAAATGCCATATAAAAAACTGGAAACTTCCAGAATAAAGACTTAGTATATACCATATATTTTAGAAATATGTGAGCTATTTGAAGATGAGAGAAATAGGAAAAGATCTATCTCTAAGGAAAGATAAAACTTCTTAACCTTATCTTTATAACGTTTAAACAAAAGATAAGCTTCTGTATTCTCCCAAATATTCCTGCAGTTTATTTTTGAAAATTATGCTGAAAATTTTGTATAGTTTTAAATTAAAGAAAACAAAAACTAAGCCCTATTCTCTTATTTAAACAGAGATTTTAAAACTGACAAATTTGAAAGCTGGGTAAGAGTTGCTTTTTTACAGTGGTTGACACATTCTCTGTCAACTTCCTCTATTTCTTCAGGAGTCACACCAAACTTTAGTGTATAAATAAATAAAACATTTATAAAAAATATTTGCAAAATGTTTTCTTTTCTTTTTTAAAGTATGATCTCTATTTTTATTTATTTATTTTTTATACAGCAGGTTCTTATTAGTTACCTATTTTATACATATTACTGTATACATGTCAATCCCAATCTCCCAATTCATCCCACCACCACCACCCCCTACCCCCCTGCAAAAGGTTTTCAAGGCAGGCAATCCCACACTCATAAAGCGGCTGAAGGGAAACAAACTCTTTCGCATTATTGCAGGCTGCCCGCTTTATTCATGAACGTAATCAAGCCCCTGAAAATGAAGAGCAGTCGTTGTCTGCACTGTGACGAAGCCAGCAGTCTCTGTGCAAACAGCACCACTCATTTATGAAGAGCAACAGACACAGGGATACCCGCTTGCTCCTTTCATCTCATCAGAGGCTGTATGCTACGTGAATGACAACCCACAGGACACAGTGAACCCCAGGTCGTACTTATGGGTTCTTCCAAAACCATATTTTTGTTTGCCTGTTTTATTTTCAGGAAACCTATATCACCTTAACTGAAAAAAGTAGAATTATCCCAGTAAGGAGGCTGATTCCAGTCCCAGTGATATTACCTTCCAGGGCTAAATTCCAGAGCTGAACGTGCGCTGTACGTGGAATAACCTTATGTCTTCTGGTACCAGCTGCCGGCACTGTCTCCTCTCTTCGGAGCAATCCCAGCCTCCCAGCAGCCTTTATCTTACAGTCGTGTGGGGTCCGCTACACCCACACACCCAAGCGATCATCCCCACCAGTCATATCCAAAGGTTTACTTCAAAAACATGCTGCCGAGGAACCCCATAAGATCTATGAGAGAAGGGACCATACTACATCCCAGTCCAAAGTCTTTTATAACCCACAATATGGCTAAAAGGACAGGGTAGTACTGCTGAAGTAGCAAATAGAAGTGAAATATTAAAAAATAAAAAGATCGAAATGTAGCACATCTACTTACATGACTTAAGCAGTGAAATGATTTCCTCCATTAAATTGCTCTCAAGCAGACTAAGTTTCCCACTAAAATGTATTAGCTTCTTTCTTCTTAGGAAACACAAAGGCTGATTTGTGTTCAGACATTTTCATTACATAGAAACTAGACAGAGGGCTTTATTTATTGATAAAGTAGCTTGTTCAGTTATGATACAGCAAATGTGATCTCTCAAATGGCTTTTAGCACATATATTTAGCTTGCTTTTATGGAACTAAGCCTGAAGCTACTTATTCTATTCATTAAATTAAAAGCAGGTATTCTTCTTGTAAGAGAATTTGTTCCAGTAAAGTTAGTCTTTAGGAAAATTTCTTCTAAAGCTGTCTTGCCTTCTCATGATTCTTAAATAAAATTCATATGTCACAAATTTATTATAACAAATTATATTTAAGAAAGGCCCTACTTTTTTCACTTTTGTAATTGATACTTAAATACACAGCAAAACTCACCCTGTTAAATATATCAGGTGCAATTTACTAAACAAAAAATAACAAAAGTTATACATAATATTAACTGACACTCCAGTAGAGATAATCTCATGTCCTTATACTACTGATCAGTTGTCGCCAAACTTTTAGCAATATCACCAAAAGTTTTCAGCAGCCTAAACCCGTGTTAAAAGTCTAAACATTCCAGGTTTTAGATTTTTCCCAATCTTTTGAATTTCATGTGCTCTATCTTGATCAATTTATCCAACAATATGTGAAAAGGTTTTTAGAGTATATTTGAAGACAGAAGAAAACGTTCAACTACCATTCATTGAGTCCCTATGTGACGGTAACTGCTGGCGCTTTCTTTCATCTACATGGTTAACACTGCTCTCCAAAAACGTAGGTTTGACTTGTCACGATCTTCTTCGGCCATACCTTCTTACTTGGAGGGATTTAGTTTTGACATTAAAACATGAGAAATCATAATGAAGCTTCCCTGTTCAAAAATCTTTAATCATTCTCTCAAACTCAAGTTGATGTTTCAAGTCTTCTTTCACGTGAGTCCAACTTACCTGTTCAAGCATATGGTCCACAATTCCCATCCACATCTCCCTGTTCTGGTAAGGTTGATTTATTCACTGCCCCCTTTATCTCTAAACTGTATTTTCCATATTGTACACACTATCATTTTCATAAGAAAAAAATCATTACATCACTTTCTGTGGGTGGTTAATATCTTCTAGTTCAGTCAGTTCAAGCCACCAATCTTTGCTTAAAAGGCATATCAATATATTTGCCTCCAACAATTTCACATGAATAAATTCCATAACATAAATAAGCTTGTTTTCTAAGACATCTAAAAATATTACTGGATTAAAACATCTTCAAATCTGACATGTCACAATTTCTATAAAAAAATCAATTCATCATGAACTACATTTTAATTCAACTTAAATTCTGTCCTGATTTATTATATGTATCTTATTTAATAAGTATAGTTTTAAAAATTAATCAGCTTTGTGATTTAGTTCTGTTTGTAAACAAAGCACAAATTATTTAAATAGATTGACATTAATATACTTATTTAAAAGGAATACTAGCAGAAGTTATATTTTGCATTGAACAAAAGCAATAATTTTGTTTGAAAAGCAGTGTAATCTAAATATTTTCATTCTAATAATATACAGAATAGCTGATGCTTTATAAAAGGAAAAATAAATTAAGCTATTTTATTGTAGCAATAAGGAATTGTACAGAGGAGATGACTGAAATAAGAAAAAGATCACCTGTTTTCCAATGTGTATTATAATTTTATAACCCATTCATTTTATTTCTGAATATATTGTTTGAATTAAGGTTGAGTTCTGGTCGTAGCTGACCCTTAAACATCCAATTAATATTTCTTATTTTACTATTTATCAGACTTGTCTACCCTTCGATATATCACACTGGTGTTCTTAGGAAAATCACATGAAGTAGTAGAGGAAAAAATTAGACAAATATTTTTTTAATTATATTTTTGAAAATGAATCTATCATTACCCAGTTAAAAGTGATGAGACTTTGTTTTATAGACTATTTTAATAGAATCTAATAATCATGTCTGTTCATACTGAAGTAAAACCATGGGTCAGAGTATTGCGGGATTTGGCAGAACCCCCAGAAAGGCATAAATTTCACTAACATTACAGACTCCCTACTCTAAGTCAATTTATATGCCCCAGAATAACCTCAGAAACAAGCTGTGAACGTCAGAAAAAGTTAAAACCTCATTTTATACCAGAATAATATGCAAAGACAAAGAAGTAAACCTAGACAAATTTACCAGTATAATAATAATAATAGGTAAATTACATAGCAAGATTTACGTTCAGTTTCAGAAATGATACATTTACCTTGAAAGGCAGCTGTGTTTCGAGATATCAGAAACTTTAATGTAGAGCTGGATGTTTGAAGCACCTGCTGCATATCTTGGCGAGCTGCAATTTGATAACTTTCCTCCATCTTCCTGGTGCAACATGCAGGGTTTTTGGCTATGCAAACCTGAAGATCAGGCCCTGGAATACACAAAATATTTTTCATAATAATTACCTGTTCATTTAACAAACATTACATGTTACGTATCAGACATTAATGATCAGCACTGCACATTACAGGTTCATGTCCTATATGCCCACCAGAAAAACGATACCAGTGGGTTGACACCAGCCTTAGGATACCCTGGATCCCACAGGAAGCTGTGTCAGAAACTGGCCCCATCCACCGGCAGGCAAAAAACACAAACAAAGGAAGGTTAAAAAATATGCTACTAAACAACAAATGGATCACTGAAGAAATCAAAGAAGAAATCAAAAAATACCTAGAGACAAATGAAAATAAAAACACAACAATCTAAAATCTATAGGATGCAGCAGAAGAAGTTCTAAGAGTGAAGTTTATAGCAATACAAGCTTACTTCAGGAAAAAAAAAAATCTCAAAAGAACAACCAAACCTTATATCTAAAAGAACTAGAAAAATAAGAACAATGACAACAACAACAACAAAATGTTAGTAGAAGGAAAGAACTCATAAAGCAGAAATAAATGAAAGAAAGAATTTGAAAAAACAAAAAAACAGTAGAAAAGATCAATGAAACTAAGAGCTGATTCTTTGAAAAGATAGACAAAATTGATAAACCATTAGCCAGACTCATCAAAAAAGAAAGAGGGCCCAAATTAATAAAATTAGAAATGAAAAAGGAGAAGTTACAACTGACACCACAGACATACAAAGGGTCACAAGAGATTACTACAAATAATTATAGCCCAATAAAATGGGCAACCTAAAAGAAATGGATAAATTTCTAGAAATGCACAATATCCCAAGACTGAACCAGGAAGAAACAGAAAATATAAACAGTCTAACTACCAGTAATGAAACTGAATCAGTAATAAAGAAAAAGAAAAACAAAGTCCAGGACCAGATGGCTTCACAGGTGAATTCTACCAAACATTTAGAGAAGAGTTAACACCTATCTTTCTCAAACTATTCCAAAATATTGCAGAGTAAGGAAGCTTTGGAACTCATTCTACAAACACAGCATCACGCTGATACAAAAACCAGGCAAAGGTATAACAAAAAGAAAATTACAGGGCTTCCCTGGTGGCGCAGTGGTTGAGAGTCCGCCTGTCGATGCAGGGGACACAGGTTCGTGCCCTGGTCTGGGAAGACCCACATGCCGCGGAACGGCTGGGCCCATGAGCCATGGCCGCTGAGCCTGTGCATCCGGAGCCTGTGCTCCGCAACAGGAGAGGCCACAACAGTGAGAGGCCCACGCACCGCAAAAAAAAAAAAAAAAGAAAGAAAATTACAGGTGAATGTTACTGATGAAAATAGATGCAAAAATCCTCAATAAGGTATTAGTAAACCAAATTTTCAATATTATATTAAAAAACTCATACATCATGATCAAGTGTAATTTATCCCAGTGATGAATGGATGGTTCAATATCCCCAATCAATCAATCAGTGTGATAACCACATTGACAAATTGAAGAATAAATATTATATGATCATCTCAATAGATACAGAAAAAGCTTTTGACAAAATTCAACATCCATTTATGATAAAAACACTCCAGAAAGTGGGCAGAGAGGAAACATATCTCAACATAGTAAAAGCCATATATGACAAACCCAAGCTAACATAATACTCAGTGGTGAGAAACTAAAAGCATTTCTTCTAAGATCAGGTACAAGAAAAGGATATCCACTCTTGCCACTTTTATTCAATATAGTGTTGGAAGTCCTAGCCACAACAGCAGACAAGAAAAAGAAACAAAAGTAATCCAAACTGGAAAGGAAGAAGTAAAACTGTCACTGTATGCAAATGACATGATACTATACATAGAAAATCCTCAAGACACCATCAAAAACCTACTAGAGCTCATCAATGAATTCAGTAAATTTGCAGGATACAAAATTAATATACAGAAATCTGTTGCATTTCTATACACTAACAATGAACTATCAGAAAGAGAAATTAAGGAAACAATTTCATTTACAATCACATCCAAAAGAATAAAATATCTAGGAATAAACCTACCTAAGGAGGTAAAAGAACTGTACTCAGAAAACTATAAGACACTGATGAAAGAAATTGAAGATAACATAAACATATGAAAACATATACCATGTTCACTGATTAGGAGAATTAATATTATTAAAATGACCATACTACCCAAGGCTATCTACAGATTCAATGCAATCCCTATCAAAATACCAAGAGCATTTTTCACAGAACTAGAACACATAATTTTAAAACTTGTGTGGAAACACAAAAGTCCCTGAATAGTCGAAACAATCTTGAGAAAGAAGAACAGATCTGGAGGAATCATGCTCCCTGATTTCAAACTATACTACAAAGCTACAGTAATCAAAACAGTATCGTACTGGTACAAAAACACATACATATATCAATGGAACAGAATAGAGTCCAGAAATGAACCCACACTTACATGGGCAATTAATTTATGACAAAGGAGGCAAGAATATACAATGGGGAAAAGACAGCCTCTTCAATAATGGTGTTGGGGCTTCCCTGGTGGCGCAGTGGTTGAGAGTCCACCTGCCAATGCAGGGGACACGGGTTCGTGCCCCGGTCTGGGAAGATCCCACATGCAGCGGAGCGGCTGGGCCCGTGAGCCATGGCCGCTGAGCCTGTGCGTCCGGAGCCTGTGCTCCGCAACGGGAGAGGCCACAACAGTGAGAGGCCCGTGTACCACAAAAAAAAAAAAAATAATGGTGTTGGAAAAACTGGACAGCGACACACAAAAGAATCAAACTGGTTACCCTCTCACACCATGCACAAAAATAAATTCCAAATGGGTTAAATACCTAAATATATGGCCCAAAACCATAAAGTTTCTAGAAGAAAACATAGACGGTAAGCTCTTTGATATCTATCTTAGAAATATTTTGTTGGGTATGTCTCCTCAGGCAAGGGAAACAAAAACAAAATAAATAAATGAGCCTATGCCAAATTGAAAAGCTTTTGCACAGCAGAGGAAACTATCGACAAAATGAAAAGGCCACTCACTGAACGGGAGAAGATATTTGTAACTGATATATCCAATAAGGGTTAATATCTAAAATCTTCAAAGAACCCATACAACTCAATATCAAAAAAACTAACAATGCAGTTAAAAAATAGAGGTTCTGAATAGACATTTTTATGAAGAAGACATACAGATGGTCAACAGACACATGAAAAGATGCTCAAGATCACTAATCGTCAGGGAAATGGAAATTAAAACCATAATGAGATATCACCTCACATTGTCCAAGTGGCTATTATCAAAAAGACAACAAATAACAAGTGTTATCAGGATGTGGAAAAAAAGAGAAACTTTGTGCATTGTTGATGAGAATGTAAATTGGTGTAGCTGCTGTGGAAAACAGTATGGAAATTCCTCAAAAAATGAAAAATAGAACTACTATATAATCCAACAATTCCATCCCTGGGTATTTATTTGAAGAAAACAAAAAACACTAATTTGAAAAGATATATGCACCCCTATACTCACTGCAGCATTATTTACAATACCTAAGATATGGAAGCAACATAAGTGCCCATCAATAAATGAATGGATAATGTAATATATATATATCATATGTGAGATATATATATCACATGTGATATATATATAAAGTTAGTCATGAAAAAGAATAAAATCTTGCCATTTGTGACAACATGAATGGAACTAGAGAGTATTATGCAAAGTGAAATAGGTCAAACAGTAAAAGACAAACAGTGTATGATTCCACTTATATGTGGAATCTAAAAACCAAAACAAATGAACAAACACAAGAAACCAGAAACAGAGTCATAAATACAGAAAACAAACAGGTGGTTGCCAGAGGGGAGGGGAATAGGGAAAGAAAGAAATAGGTGAGGGAGATTAAGAGGTACAAACTTCCAGTTGTAAAATAAATGAGACACAGTGTGGGGAATATAGTCAATGACTACATAATATCTTTGTATGGTGACATATTGTAACTAGACTTACGGCAATTATTTTGAAATGTATTGAAATATCAAATCATTATGCTGTGTAACAGGAACTAACATAGAGTTGTACACTAATTGTACTTCAAAAACAAACAAACTCATAGAAAAAGAGATCAGATACGTACAGGGAGTTGGAAAAGGGGCAACTGGATGAAGATAGTCAAAAGGTACAAACTCCCAGTTATAAAGACAAGTAAGTAATAGAGATGTAAAGTACAATGTGATAAATATAAGTAACATCGCTGTATGTTATGTATGAAAGTTAAGAGAGTAAATCCTAAGAGTCTCACCACAAGGAAAAACTTTTTTTCTATTTCTTTGATTTTGTATCTACAAGAGAGGATAGATGTTCAGTAAACTTATTGTGATAACCATATCATGATGTATGCAAGTAAAATCATTATGCTGTATACCTTAAACTTATACAGTGTTGTATGTCAATTGTATCTCAATAAAACTGGAAGAAAAAACTACAATGCGATACCATCTCACACCCATTAGAATGACTACTATGAAAAATACAGATGATAACAAGTGTTAGCGAGGATGTGGAGTTATTAGAACACTTGTGTACTGCTGGTTGGAATGTGAAATGGTAAAACCGCTGTGGAAAACAATATGGCAGTTACTCAAAAACCTAAAAGTAGCATTACCATAAGATCCAGCAATTCTACTTCTCTATACATACCCAAAAGAATTGAAAACAGTCTTGAAGAGATATTTGTACACAATATTCGCAGCATATTATTGTACACAATATTGTACACAATATTCGCAGCATATTATTCACAATAGCTAAAACATGGAAGCAGCCTAAGTGTCCATGGATTGATGAATGGTAAGCAAAATATGGTATATACATACACTGGAATATTATTCAACCTTAAAAAGGAAGGAAATTCTGACTTATGCTACAACATGGATGAACCTTGCGGACATTACACTAGGTGAAATAAGTCAGTCACAAAAACACAAATATAACTCTACTCATATGAGGTTCTTAGGATCA